CTGTGTGTGTCTGTGTGTGTCTGTGTGTGTCTGTGTGTGTCAGTGTGTGTCTGTGTGTGTCTGTGTGTGTCTGTGTGTGTCTGTGTGTGTCTGTGTGTGTCTGTGTGTGTCTGTGTGTGTCTGTGTGTGTCTGTGTGTGTCTCTGTGTGTCTCTGTGTGTCTCTGTTTGTCTCTGTGTGTCTCTGTGTGTCTCTGTGTGTCTCTGTGTGTGTCTCCGTGTGTCTCCGTGTGTCCGTGTGTCTCTTTGTGTCTCTTTGTGTGTCTCTGTGTGTCTCTGTGTGTCTCTGTGTGTCTCTGTGTGTCTCTGTGTGTCTCTGTGTGTCTCTGTGTGTCTCTGTGTGTCTCTGTGTGTCTCTGTGTGTCCCTGTGTGTCCCTGTGTGTCCCTGTGTGTCTCTGTGTGTCTCTGTGTGTCTCTGTGTGTCTCTGTGTGTCTCTGTGTGTCTCTGTGTGTCTCTGTGTCTCTGTGTCTCTGTGTCTCTGTGTCTCTGTGTCTCTGTGTCTCTGTGTCTCTGTGTCTCTGTGTCTCTGTGTCTCAGTGTCTCAGTGTCTCTGTGTCTCAGTGTCTCTGTGTCTCTGTGTCTCTGTGTCTCTGTGTCTCTGTGTCTCTGTGTCTCTGTGGCTCTGTGTCTCTGTGTCTCTGTGTCTCTGTGTCTCTGTGTCTCTGTGTCTCTGTGTCTCTGTGTCTCTGTGTCTCTGTGTCTCTGTGTCTCTGTGTCTCTGTGTCTCTGTGTCTCTGTGTCTCTGTGTGTCTGTGTCTGTGCCTGTGTCTGTGTCTGTGTCTGTGTCTGCGTGTCTGCGTGTCTGCGTGTCTGGGTGTGTGTTTGGGTGTGTGTTTGCCTGTGTTTCTGTGTGTTTCTGTGTCTGTGTGTGCGTGGGATGGCCTGTTCTACAAGGTTTAGGTCGTTTTGCGCTGTTTGGGGTTGTTGCCCTCGGAGACCTGAAACCTGGCTTCCCCGTTGTTCTTGTTTCTTGTTTGGGGTTTTGCCCGCGGACACCCAACCTGGGGCCTTTCTGCTTCTTTTGGGTTCCCTTGCTCCGTTTGTTTTCTGTTGGGGTCTTCGCCCGGTCTTGGGGCGCGTGTTTTTTCCCCCCGAAAAAGTGGCACTCGCCCCTCTTTGAGGGGCGTGTGTGTGTGCGGAGTGGCAGAATACCCTGCCACCACTTTAGGTTACCGCAGGGGGCGCGGCAGCTCATTCTCTAGCCGTGCCAGTGAAGCTGTGAGAATGAGCTGGAAGGGAGTTTGGACGCAAACTCCTGTACCTGCAAGTGATTCTGAAAGTCCCTTTGACCCCCTTGGTTGCGGCGCTGTTTCTGCTTCTTGTCCTTTCTGGTAACGTTTTCGCCTCTAGAGGGAAACTGAGTGCTTCGCGAGCCGAAAAATATTGTACTCGAGACTCATCAGTTGTACTCGAGACTCATCAGTTGTACTCGAGACTCATCAGTTGTACTCGAAAGATTAGCACCCTCCATCTGGAGTTGAAGTGTGTTTCTGTGTGTGTGTGTGTGTCTGTGTGTGTCTGTGTGTGTGTGTCTCTGTGTGTCTCTGCGTGTCTCTGCATGTCTCTGGGTGTCTCTGCGTGTCTCTGCGTGTCTCTGCATGTCTCTGCGTGTCTCTGCGTGTCTCTGCGCGTCTCTGCGTGTCTCTGCATGTCTCTGCGTCTCTCTGCGTGTCTCTGCGTGTCTCTGCGTGTCTCTCTGTGTTGTCTCTCTGCGTTGTCTCTTTGTGTTGTCGCTCTGCGTTGTCTCTCCGTGTTGTCTCTCTGTGTGTGTGTGTGCGTCTCTGGGTTTGTGTCTCTGTGTGTGCGTGTGTCTCCATGCATCCCTCTGTGTGTCTCTCTGTGTGTCTCTCTGTGTCTCTCTGCGTGTCTCTCTGTGTGTCTTTCTGTGTGTTTGTGCGTGTTGTCTGTGTCTGTGTCTGTGTCTGCGTCTGTGTGTGGATGTGTGAATGTGTAAATATGCGTGTGAATGCGTGTGTGTGAACGTGTGTGTGTGTGAATGCGTGCGTGTGTGTCTCTGTGTGCGCCATGCCGACAGGGGCGCGTGCTGCACAAAGTAGCGCAAGTCATCCGACCCCTAGCAAAAGTCATCAGGTTCTCCACATCGACCACGCCATCCTCACAGCTTTGGCGGGCATGAAAAAGCCGCCAATCCCGCAGAGGGCCGCGCGGGCATGTTGAAAAGTAGCACAAGTCCTCGACCACGCCGACCCCCAAAGAAGACTTAAGACTCGAGAAGAGAAGGTGCAAAAGAAAAAGCTGGCTTGTGTTTAGGATAGTGAAGCAATAATCGAAAAATTCGCGCTAGATTTCCAACCTGTTTTAGGCAGGTGAAGTAACACCCGAAAAGTTGGCATGAGAAGTCGGCAAGTGTAATTCTCCAAAAGTTGGCATGAGAAGTTGGCAGGTGAAGTTGGCAGGTGAAAGTTGCAGCCAAGAACCCTTCGCAATGCTTCTTGGGAAAGGAATCGTGTTTGTTTTCGTGGGCTGGAGGGAGAAGAGAGAAAGCGAAGTATGTATATATATATATATATGTACCAGTCCCTGGGCCACGTACCCCCCCCCCAATGGGGTGGCCCCCCCACTCCCGCGCATCATCTGCATCTTGGGTACTGTGTGAGCCCTGCAGCTTCTGTCCCAGACTCCCCCCTTCACCCCGTGAACCAACACCCCAGCACCTCTCACAACATCCTAAACCAAACCACCCTGCAACCCCTCCTTAACCCCAACCCTAAGCCTAAATCAACCCAAACCCCAAACCCACCCGAAACCCACCGGAACCAACCCTAAACCAACCCTTCAAGCCTAAACCCACCCAACCCAACCCCAACCACCCCGCCACCCCACCCCACCCCACCCCCTCAGGGGGGGGAATGGAACACCCCCTGCCAAGATCCGCGCTTCACCTCTGCCAAGAGCTCTTGCAAGTCAATCTGCGTAGTGCTTGTGAACAGCAAAAACACCGCAAATAGCGGTATTTTGTGAAGATAGTGAAGTTCATGCAAACTTGCAAGCAACTGGTTGATGTTGATAAGAACCCATAACCTGAAAGAGATTCCGTTTGGGATGTTGGCTTCTGTTGGCTTTGGCTTTGGCAGATGGCTTTCAAGAAGAAGTGGCAGCAGATGATTTGTTTTGCAGACCGCAGATGGAAGGGTGTCAGGTGTGAAGCGCTGTTGTTTGGAATTGCTTTGTCCTAGAAGCAGAAAATAGGGACTGTGCCACACTTTTGGAGGGCGAGGTGCTGAAAGTGCTGCACTTTCTTTTTTTGCTTTTCAAGAAGCAGAAAATAAAATAATGACAGCTCCACACATTGGGAGGTCGAGGCGCTGAAAGTGCTGCACTGTCAGGGTTCACAATGTGGACGATGTCAACACCTGCTGCAAGGCCGCTTTTTCCTTGCCCGCATTCTCTGTTTCGATCTCTGGTCAAAACTTCCTCGCCTACGGAGTTGAAGATGGTCTCCAACATGGTTCGCGTGGTTTCCCCCAAGCAAACTGAAGCAGGCTTGAACAGCAACCATTTCACAGAAGAAAATGGTACACAGGTCCTGCCAAGTAGCCATCTGGTAAGTGGCCAACCAGGACTGGCCAAAAAGCAGGCCCGACGCCGCCATCATCTGCACCACTTTTGTGGGCAGCTTTTCGGAGATCCCTACAGGTAGACGGAACTAAGTGGATACAGAAGATCATGTGTTCTTTCACCTTCCTTTGGCCTCTTTCCATGACAGGCCTTGGGATTGTTTGGGAGGCTTTTTGGAAGACACTTGACAGATAGTTGTCCGTCAGCTGTTAGTTGTCCGTTTGACAGACAGTGGAGTCAGTTGCCAGACAGTTGACAGACGAAAGCCGCTGGGCGCGGATCTTGGTAGGGGCGGGGGCGAGCATATATAGGAGAAGAATGAGAAAGACAAGGAGGAAGAGGAAGAGGAAGACGAAGAGGAAGACGAAGAGGGAACGGAAGAGAGAGACAGAGACAGAGACAGAGAAGGAAAAAGAGAAAGAGGAAGAGCAGGAGAAAGACAAACGGGGGAGGGAGAGAGAGAGAGAGAGAGGAGAGAGAGACAGAGAGAGAGGTGTAAAACAAGCTCTTAATTCTTTCAAACTTGCCCCTTGCTTCGCCGGCTATACGGTAGTATTGGCCTTTGGTACAAATTGAAGACCGTAGGTTTCCAACGGTTGGCTTGTTCAAAACCACTGCGCAGGCGGTCAACTCTGCCGATTGCGCTTCACCGACTCTGCCAGACCAGAGCCACCTGCCTCCTTTGGATCTGAACCATCATCTGCTTTCAGGACCATCAGTGATCCCTCTTCTACCACATAGAAGCTGTGTCCTCACTTTCGCGTCAGGCTTGGGCTTCAGGGTTTTGGGGTGGGGATCACAGACGTTTTATCGTCTTAGAGAGTTTCAAGAGCGGCCTGGCTTGAAACCACTCAAGGGCCGAGCGGTCCAGATCCGTTTCTGGAAGCAACAAAGCTTTCCCCAAAGCCGTCAAATCTACTAGGCGGAGTAACCGCACTTGATAGTGTGCATGTGCTGCAACATCTGATGTTGTGGCTTGTGTCTGTGAGAGCTTGTCTGACGTTTTGCACTTTGGCCTTGATCCTGCTGGGGTCCCAAATGCCAACTAGGAAAGGCAAGAGCACCACTGCAGTATTTCAATTTCGCTCCAGGCACCATCTGCTGTAGGCCCTTTTCCGACAAGTTTGCTGATTTCAAGCTTCTGCCTTTCGTATTGACATGTCCTTTGAGAGCCTCGCGAGTCACTTACACTTTGGAGCGATTGCAAAAAGCTTTGCGTCTGCTTTCCAAGACTGATTTCTTGCGTGTTTAGGTCTCCGTCACTTAAAACGAGCGGCTCGAATGAGGTTTGCCTTGATTGCCCTTCTGCAACGCTCACTCGCTGCCAAAACTGCTTGCTCCATGCTTTTGGTGAGTGCCACGCCTGGGACTACAAGAGCTAAGCATGGCCCAGGGCTGGTCCTTCTTCTCCTTGTCGGATCACAAATTCATCCTGCAAATGTCGTATCAGTCACGCCACAGCTGAGGCAGACAAAAAGCAGCCAAACAGCTATTTAACAAAAATGAAGCACAATTCGATGTCCTTCGCATAAGTTTCAGACTTCATTGCGTCTGACAGCTGCGACCGCTCATAGTCATCGAGCAAAGAGAATATGCCCACCTGCGCATAGTTTTCGAGCATAGCTAGGTGTTGCAAACCACCGCGTTACAAACAGATGGCACCTGCATCTTTATGTCTGTGCTGCACAGCGCCTATGCCTCTGAACGAGATCCGCAAAAAATGTCCTGAAGGCCCCACCTTCTCCAGGAATGGAACGTGCAGACCAGTCTGCTTGGATGCCGCATCCTTCCATCGGTGCAACTCTTGGTCTACCTCTTTCCCAACCAATCCCAAACCACCAGTCCCAAGAGAATCTGAGTCCATCAGTCTTTGTAACTTGCCGTGCAGCGAAGGAATTCCAACGGGAACATGAGTATGAATCAGTATGAAGTTGCTTCCCGTTCAGAACAACAAAATGTTACTTTCCTTTGACGAAGTCCTACTTTTGTCAATTGCGCGATCTAGAAGTACTTTCTCAGGTCAGTGATTGGCAGCCCCCAGCGGGGGCGGGGCATTGATCAAAAGTCAACCTCTCCCGCATTTAGGACGGACAAACCCGAAGCTTCGTGCATCTCAACTTGCGTTGTTCGACTGCCTTGACAATGTAATTGAAGGTCTCTCGATCCAGTTGCCAAGCTACACCTCACGCGCATTGCAATCCAAGGGCCTTCAACTACATGCAAGCCAACATGCAAGCAACAGCAAGCAAATGCAAGTGCCTTCAGTCTACAGCAAATGCCTCACGTGTTGCAGCCACGCAACATTGGTCAGTGGCGTCTACGCTAGCAGCACGCCTCGCGTTGTATAGCAATGCCTTGGAAGAAGCGAGAGATTGCAAGAAACACTCACCGAGCTAAAATGATGATGCAAGCGGTGGGAGTGGGAATCAGTACTCTTGCAAGAGTGGTGGAACACTGGTAGCGCATTAGAGATTTGATAGTCCAATCCAATATGTCACTCACCAACGGAACACAAACCAGCCAACAGGGAGACGTGCCTACATTAGAGACGTGCTTAGAGAGATAGCATGACGAGCAGCTACCAGCTGTGCGTACAGGCCATAGGAGATGCCAGTAGGGGAGTCCGGTCCGAGAAAACTTTGGAGACGGCAATGCGATTCACAAAATAGACTCGAGCCGAGACATGCAATCCAACAGGTTGCCTTCGAGCCCAGTCCAACTCTGGGCGAGCCGGCAAGCCCACCGCATTGGAAACAATTGCAGCTGAGTTGCGAGCTCGCCAAATACATCCCCTGGAGCACATTTCTTCACAACCTGCACCAAGCGAGTTGCCTTGTCTCTGAAATTCATGTAAGTGGCTTAAATGGCTCGCAACATGGCATTACGGCTGTCCTTCTCCTCGCCATTAATAAGTTTCTTGCACTCGGGATTGCCTGCTTCGATCAAGCACAAAAAGTCCTGCAGGCAAAGCCGCAAGGGGAAGTGATGCCCGGCCAGGGTTGGCCAACACACAAGAAAACATAATTGTATAATTGTCTTGTCCGACCTGGGCTGGGTCTAACTGTATACTTGTCTTCCTTCGCATCCGATCTCGTTGCCGGAAGTTTGCCCCCAATTCGGTACACACTCGCGGCACTTGCGCACTTGCAGCGCTCGAGGCGCGGGCCCCATCATCGCCCTCTTGGATGATCCTCTCCCCGGGTTGGAAGCTCGCCTCCTTCATGGCCAGCCTCGCACATTGAACACATTCCCGCAGAGCAACTACGAAGACTCAAGACGAGTGGCACCACAATAGCTTGGTCCTTTGGGGAGAGCGCTGAAAACATGAAAGACCTGGCAACGGCCAGGTCACTTTGAGCAAATGCGATGAACTAAGCCAAAGGTTAAAGCCTGGACAGGATGCTGCGCAACCTCTCTGCTTGTTCCTGGCAGGGATGTTGTTGCTTGTTCCCCTCGCATGAAGCACTGCTCAATCTTGCAAGGAGAAATAAAGCACGTCCTCGGTCTTGGGGTACTTGGGAGGATCAAACGGCTTCTTCTGATTCCAGGAACCTGAGGCGCAGCAAATGTGTTTCTGAGCTTCGGCACGGGCAAGGTATCGGTGTATCAAAGAAGCGCCAAGAGACCATAGGCTTCAGCGCTGACTGAGGCCCGCTGCCTGGCACTCAGACAAGATACACGTGCCATGTTTTCACTCAGTCGGCCCTCTGCCTGGACATGTTGACTGGAGGAGGGGGAGGTTCATCAGGCTCATCATCGTCCTCTTCTTCTTCTTGTTCGTCGTCCTCCTGCTTGTGGACTACACTCTCCCTCTCTCTCTCTCCCTATCTCTCCGGTACTGTTCTGCCGTGCCTTAAGTGGAAAGAACAAAACGCAAGTGAATGACTTACGGTTGCATTTGTCTACTGAGCATTCCCACAGGCCTTGACTGGCATGCGGCAAGCTCAAGCGTGCTGAAGGGTGGCAGGACGGTCTCTCATTTACCCATACGCATATGCATCTGGCTCCTGTGGTGGTTCCCTTGCTTCGGCTTCAGCTTCAGTTGGCCCCGCCTCTTCATCAGCTGGTTTCGCCCCTCCTGGACTTGCCTGAGTCAGATCTGCAAGCTCTGGCACAAGACAGTACATGTGCTAAAAGAAGGCTCGGGCTGCGTCTTGCAAGAAGCTCTGCATTTGCATCAGTTTCTTTTTCAGCACATCGTTGGTCCTTGGGAGACTCTTACTTCCGCCTTTGGGGCCTGCCTTGACGCATTTTCAACATCGCCTCTCTTAGGGGAATGCCCCTGCGTAAGAAAAGTCAAGCAGAAAACATGGCACGCCTGAAAGGAAAATGCATACATCCGATTTCGTCGCGTCGATAACACATCTTCATAGACTTCGACAGTCTTCCATATCCATCCATCACTCGCCACAGAACACACAGCAGTGTCAGATGAGATGATCGAACAAGATGTCCACTTGTTCAAGCACTCTGCGACATCATGACCGGAGATGCGAACAAGGCGGCGAACACTATATCATCCATCTCATGGCCTGATGAATGCGCTACCCAACGAAATCAGAATCCGCTTCAGCGCTCCCATTCTGACCATATGCCACGAGCAACTCGAATTTCGCACAGAAACTACAACCCATTTTTCTGGATTGTATGGCGACTTACGTTTTCCACTGGGGAAAGACCTCAGCACAGTATGAAACAAGGCGCAAAAAAGAAGCATAAAGGTGAGTTGGACACAGTACTCAACAACCGACATGCTGTTCATTCCAAGACTACAAGGTCTCATCCATGGAGCGCATCAGGCACGTCAACAAGATGCTCATGATTGGAGCTTGTGATTCCAATTGGCATCCGCTTGTTATTGTCTAAATCAGCAGCGGCCTCGACAAGAAAGTACACGCCATACAACAAGCATGATGCCTGGGATGAGCAAGTAAATATCATGAATGAAAACACCATAGACCGGATGTGGAACTCCGAACCCACCACGAAACAATCGACCAACCTAGATACAACCTCGACAGTTCCAAGTAGTTTGCCATTGGTTCATGATTCGTTACCATGTCCTTCGTCTATATGGTTTTGATGAGGTTGCCATTTATGTCAATATTTACGCGTTCTACGGCACACAATTCGGCGCTGATCAAAATACAAGTGTCTGTTTGGCTCCAGTCACCTGACCTTCATGCAATCAAGCAATCTCTTTTTGCATGCATTGGCCCGAGGCCAGGTGTATAGCTCCTTGCTGCAGAAACAGTAGAAAAAAGTGGGCCATGCGTTGCTGATTGTCGGACTTGTATTATTTGACCCTTCTTGGACAAACACTGCCTTATGATTCATACCTTGGTCATTCCTCTTGCATCAGAGTAGATCAACAAGGAGGACCTACGAGGTGCATCGCTGGCCCTATTGGGCCCCCGCATTTGCAACCTCAATTGTGGTAGCAGAGCAGGTTCTCCGAACGCAAGATGTCAAGTGAAGAGGACTGCTATGGAGCAGAACCACCTGCAGCGGCTTTCTTAGGAAGCCGTCATAACGGCGTGAGTTCCCATGAAGAGACCATCATGCAAATTGCCATCGTCTGACGGCCGTGCTGGTAGGCTTCGGTACGAAGACCTGGTAAGGGATTGAATGACACTCACGGTTGTAGAACCCGCAAGACAAGGCCCGCTCCTCAAGAACCGTTTGGTTGAGGACGCCACGATATATCGCGAAGTGTTGGACAATGAGAGGTTCATTGATTTGACCCGGACAACGGCGTGGAGTATTTTTCAACTTCCTTCGCGGATATTTCCTGAAAGGAACATCGAATGTCTTCCTACACAGATTCACCCGTCTCGCTTAAATCAAGGCTTCCAGTACGTTTCTGTATTTGCAGTGTCTGATCTGTTTCCTCTCAAGGCTTCCAGACACTGCATCACACTCCAAGCAACCACAGCCGACAGGTAGGCGTCACGCAAAGGCTGGAAGCGGTTCTCATTGTATGCCGATTCGACATCCAGACACCATGCGTCGGACAAAGGTACACACGACATGTTTTTCGCTACGAGCAGTGGTATGCTGCGGCACAGCACACATATCACAGGGTCCTTAGGGCTTGAGATACTGCATTATGTTTACTCGCGCTCTCGACTCGAGAAGTGTTCGTAGTGGGTCTACCGACGCGTGCGATGTCTCCAAGCATAATCTCTTCCAACACCACACTTGCAACGACGGAAGCAAATATATGCGACAAGGGGGGGAGCAGCGCAGCCCTGCGTGTGGCGCTGCCCCCCCTCGAACCGCCTCTTTTCTCGAGTAGCCTCTGATACGCTACGTTTCCACATCCCTCTCCTTATACGGAGCCAAAGAATAATGCTGCACGCCCACACTCTTATGACGAATTCACAAACCACGCCTTCGACTTTGTTCGTGGTTGGCCTGGAGAGTTATGGGTGGAGCACAACGCTCTCCACCCACAGCTCTAATGATAAACCAACAAGTCACATCTTGTACTTCTACATGCTACAAGGCAAGCCAAGGATAAATTCGGACACGGATATTCACACTCCTTCACTCCCCTCACACGACGGTACTGCGAAGCTGCGCGTGCGCACCACTGCCCCAAGAGAGAAGGAAAGAAGCTAAAATATCTACTCCAGCCCGCACTTTCACTAGTCGAGGGGCATGCCTAGCACATAATTGCTTTCATCCATACCCCCCACCCTACAACTTTTTTCATCTTCCATCTTCTACCCTTATTTGTTTTCATCATTTTTCTAAATTCCTTTCTGTCCATCTCATCCGTTTTTTCTCATCATTTTTACATTTTTTTCGCCATCCTTTCTCCCTTTCTCCTTCCTCCTCGCCTCATTCATTTCACCAGCTGCCCTTCAAAATGTCATTTCCTCAATCTCCTCGCCTCATCCATTTCAAAAAAACAAATTTTGCAAAACAATATTGCAAACAATATTTGTCATCAAAAAATCAAACTGTCTAAAAACGTTTTGTCCATTTCTCAGACAAAGTGGAACAGCAACAACATCACTCCCCTCCTTCGTTTCATCAGTTTCATCATATATTTTAATAGGCGTGGTGCCCCTTGTAGGATTTTACCTTCAATGTATAAAACGCTATACTTTCATTATAATTATAACATAGAAGGGTATACATGTTATTATTATAGTATGGTTTTAATCGTTAAAATTCATATTGATTATGTTTGCACATGACACGCAATGAGCTACCAGCCCATGATTAATCCACCCTTGTTTTTTTGACTAATCGTGCCTTGATTTTTGGAAAATCCCTCCATGATTAATCTCCCTGAGACTTTTGCTGCGTCTTGGGCAATGGTCGGCAAACCAATGTATGTGCGCCAGCGCCGTCAAAACAATTTCTTATTTTTTACTATATTGTCGTTGGGTGCATCTAGAAATTTCCAGTTTGAGTCCAAACCCCAAACCTAAATCCTTAATCCGTCAAACTCATCAAAATTTCAAGTATTAGCCCACTAGGTATTTTATATAGGTCTTCCTGTTTATGAAATACTGGATTGTCACCCCATTCTGCTTTGGTTGTTGACGGTAGCCTCTGCGCAGTTTCAATATGTTTATTATTCCTGACTTTTTCCACAATCCTTGACACATAAATTTCTCGGTTTTCAAGTTGTAATGTTATTCCAGAGCCTAGTTCTCTTTCTGCAAGGCATTCCATATATACAGTAATCTACATCTTTAAAATCAAACTCATCCATAAACTCAAGATTTTTTAATAATCCAGTTTGGGGATTTTCGATTACCCAGTACTTAGGATTAAAAAACTTGATAACCTCAGTGGTTTTTAAGACAATACTATTTGCATAATCTATTCTTCTAATTCCTCTAGCTTTTGCTTTGCTGTGTTCGGTGCACGGGGGACTACTCCAAACAAAATCAAAGTGGTTTCTGTCAAACTGTTTGTAATCCCACTCCAAAATATCAGTGTTGATATCAGCATTTTTCAAGTCTAATGAGATGACATTATAACCGAGCGACTTTGCTATGGTTCCGACGCTTTTTGTTCCGCTAAATAATTCTAATAAATTCATATTAGTAGAATTACTTAGATATTAATTATTCAAAAAATACATATACTCCATCATCATTTTTTGTAATTTGGTAGTAGTCTAATGTTTGTTGCTTTGGCGTCTTGATTTTTTCACTGTTTAACATATCACAGTATTTCTTTTGTTTTGTTTCATAACTGCCGGTAGGTCTGCCTATGCCTTTCTTTTCAAATATGTTCTCAATCTTTTCCTTCTCCTGATTGCTTGGTTGTTCGCGTTCAACTGGTTTAAGTTTTTCATCAATGGACTTAATCATACCACTTAGGGTTTTAATAGTTTTTTCAAATTAATGTTATCTTCTTCATTAAATCATTAATAGTGTAATTCTCATTTTCATACATTAAGACATATTTATTCAGATAATTATTGAATTTATTATATATTTATAGAGTTCAATATGTTTAAACTACTCTTTAAATACTAATTTTTCATCATTTGTTTAATAGTTTCCTGCGTTTCGTTTTCATTATTATCTGATGGTGTAGCGTTCCGACCCCATTTAAAAGTTTTATTGTGAACATCTGTTTCTAAGTTGATGCCGTCTTTAGCTTTATCAATATTCATTCTCTTATCATTCTTACTTATTTGAAACTTGTTGGAATACACGAGCATTTGCAGTTTCCTTTCTTTCGTATTTCTAGTTCATTTTTCATTTCTATCTTTTTGCACATAGGACAAGCAACCTCAATGACTGCTGTTTCTTTAACAACTTCTCCTCTATCTTCATCTGTTGAAGCAACACTTAAACCTGTCTTACTATTTTTGTATTTCTTTTTTCCCATTTATATTAACATTTACATTTATATTTTTGATATATTGTACTCCTAGCTTAATTAATTCTAATGAATAATAACAGCATTTCTTCATTTTATTGTCAGTTATTATATCAATATAATCTGAATAACTCCTTTTCGTATAAAATGGTAAGATAAAACATTATAAATTGATCTTACTATTTAGAATACTCGGGGCTCAGCACTGGGGCTTTCACTGCACACGCAAGCAAGACACAAACAAATTAGCTTCAATGCTTATTGATTGAAGCAATGGAATGCTTATTGATTGAAGCAATGGAAAGCCTGTTCCATTATGTTGTTCACCACCACTCATAACATAATTTTAA